CCCCAAAACCCCAAAACCCCACCATAAAAAATTGGTTGTAGATATGCGATATGAATATTTAACAATTTATATTGCAGTTGGTTAATAAATTTATCAATATTTTAATAAAATGAGTAGATACTTGTCAAAAGTAAGTCAAGACAAAACTCAAGGAAATTTAAATTTACCAGAGAGCAAATTAGTGTAAACTCTAGCTTTGAACATTAAAGAGAAAAGTATGAATGATTTCAAAGCAGAGGAAGAGGTAAATCTATTTGAAGGAATCTAAGATTCTAGATAAGAACGATTTGTCTACGTTTAGTAACACAATTTGTTAATCATAAGCTTAGTAGAGGAGATCAACTAAGTCAAAACTTAACTGATATTAATATGAGATCTCAAATCGGGGGAACTTCTTTAACGTCATGAATGCTTTATGCTTGATAGCATTTATCATTTCAAGTAAAGTGGTACTGATTATATCTTTCTGAAATAGTCGGATAGAGTAGCTGTAAACAATTAAATTGGGTGCTGTTGGGTCAAAGTAGACGATCTCAAGCAATCGTAAATTGGTTTTAATCTTAAAAATAAAACATTGCTCTAAATAAATAAATGTATAACTCAATTGAAATTTCTAAACGAGCAATTAGTTTATATGAGTTACTACAAACCAATGTGCTAGTACATTGTTGTAATGAGATTAGAGGAGGTACAGTCCTTTTAAAATGTAGATGGTATCTTAGAGTAGAGTTTATTATAAATGGAACCACAAGTAGATGCCTTTAACAAATAATAAAAGTAGAATGGGCAGTTGAATTAGTTGCCAGATTTTCAATTCATTAAGATTAATGATAGCAGCCAAATTTATGTAATGAAGCAAAAGTAATCTTAGATGACTGAACTTAGTTAGATAAAAATCGATAATCACTTTATAATTGAAGAGCTATTATAGGGAGTCAAGTATATTTATTCGAAAAGAGATTTGGAGAGAGTATAAAGCTTTGGCAAGAAAGATATATTCATTTAATAATTACAGAATGTCTACTTGATGGATAGTGGTCATAATTTGAAATACTTAGATCCATTAACCTTATAACTATCATAGGTAGCTAAATTTGATATAGATTCCAATTTCTCAGTACTTAATATCTGGCTTACTCATAACATAATCGTAATTTCAGCATAAAATTCATAAACAAAAGATACATTTTACTATCTAATCTATGATATATTCTCATCCTAATTAATCAACTAATATCCAACACAGCAGCGACCCATAGCCGATAAGATCTTCATCGAGTAGATTTAAAGAGATATCTATGCATATAATAGCACTTCAAAAGTCTTTACTAAAATAAAAATATTTTCAAGAATTCCTAAGCTATTTGAAAGCTCTACCTTGGAATTAGATTGTAAATAGTGCATAGTGAATAGAAAAAGCGACATCTATATAAAAGATGGACAATTCTAAATAGAGGTAAAAATAGGCAGGAGCGTATACATGTCTATTTACGATATTGGAAAAAACTTTTAAAGACTAACTACTTTAGAGGAAGATGCATTTTATTTTTTATAACAGTCAAAGTTAGCTTATATTACATAAAGTGATTTTTACAATCAAGGCAATTTTCTAGAGATGGCCAAAGCATTTAAGACCACTAGGGATATTAAATTAGCAGATCTCACAGAGAATGACCGTTTTATCAAAATTATTGATGATGAGATATTGCTAAATAATTAAAGGCTTATTGAAGTAGAGGAAGTATTTAAGTAAAAAATTCATTTCAAGGATCTATTTATGATACAAGATAAGCATTTAAATGCTAATTATGCTGCTTACATAGATTGATAGAATAAGTAAATAGTGTACTACGATATAATTTCAAGAGAGTTGAAATTTTTAAGTTATTTTGAATAATATTTTTAGGTATAAGAAGCTGTATTAGATAATAGGGAGCTTAATATCATAATGCTTATATTTGAAAGTCACATTGAAACTATTGATATAAAAACTGGTGAGTTATTAATAGAGTTCAGTTTCAAAAATGTTTAAAAATAATTCTTGGAAATTTAAAATGACTTGCTTCATCTATATTGCATAGATAATAATAAAAAATAAATACTTTAATAAAAAAAAGCAAGATCACTCATAATGAGGTGCTGTAGGTCTTATTGCAGTGATACTCAACTATTGTAGCGAGAGTGAGGCTACAATGAGTAGAAGGGCGTGAGCATTTTTGCGAACCCTCTTGCTTGAGCCTGGGTTGAACAGCGTTTAGTGCAGATCTTGGTGGTAGTAGCAATTATTC